GCACAGGTGATACTAAGAAAGGAACAGAGCATAGTGAGATATGTACCCTTTCAGAGTTTTGAGAAAAGATAGGCAAGGTAATGAAACAGAAAATTTTAAAAAGGAGAAAGATGACTCAAGAAGTCTGTAGGCTCACAAGTTAAATTATTAAATTCAATCATAAATGCCTCCTGATAAGCAGCCTTACAAAAATTTGAAAGGATGATAAATACAGAATAAAAGAAATCCATCATTGAAAGGCATAAGTTATTTGACCACCTACTGTCTCTACAAAGGACTGGCTCATCCTAAGCAATTACAGTCTAATTTTGATTAGAACTCTAAGGCTTAGAGTGGAACCAGCATTCCTCCGGATAAGATACTACAATCTGTTCAGTGCTAATCAATGGCATTGGCACAACTTTTATCTTGCAATCTAATTGGAAAGCAAAACAATTACCAAATTGGCTCAACTGGCAAAAATACAGGGAAAAATATATAATTAATGTGTGTGTATATTCAACCAAGTAAAACGAAATACAAAAGATCTAATTAGTTTAACAAATGGATCTAGTAGGAACATCACAATGATGCTGCAACAATTTATCAAACACTGAGACTTCATTAGAGCTCATTTTAAATTCTTCTACTGAAAACATCAAAATTATAAAGCTATAATTCTTTTAATTTTTGAATGTTTTATAAATATAGACTACTCTTCTAATCAAGAAAAAAGATTAAATATAGTATGAAGACTTCTTACAGTATTTTAAAACCACCACTATACTAGTATTAACCGAGGTCAACAGACTTTTGGGTAAACGATTTAGTAAATCTTACAAAGTTAAATTGCTTTTAGACATCTTTAAAGAAAACTACTTTTGACTATACATGTATTATTCTGAAGTTTTATGAATTTTCAGATCAGACACACATCAAAAAATACATAAAAACAAATAAAAATAATTTAATGTTTTAGATAATCATACTATCAATCTTTATACTCTTTATAATTAACCAAAAAGTACTTATTGAGTATTATAAAGTCATAACCAAACTAGCAACAGCTGACATGCTAGAACTGAACATAGAGGACCTTAAAACAGACAGTAGTCTGGTCCTAAAGAAGGATTCATCCTCAGAATCTCTAAAACAGAATTTGTGTGATTAGGAGCTTAGTCAAAATCTTCAAAACATGGTACTAACCACAGTTCTACAGACTTCTTTTAGCTTTATCTATTTTCTGACTGTATTAAGACATTTAAATGCACTGATATTTTGACATACACAATGCACTTGCATTTAAGCTATACTAAAGTTTGTGCTATAAATATCTGCACATTTATAGGAGGAATATTTAAGAAATATTTCTTCTTTTTATGATGCCATCATAGGTCTAAATTTAAAAGCTAAAACTATAAAATTTCTAGAAGAAAATACACAAGAAAATTGTTGCAACCTTAGGACAGGCAAATATTTCTTATTTAGGACACAAAGAGCACAAATCATTAAGGAATAAACCCAATTAACTGGACTTGATAAAATTAAAAACCTTTGTTCATAAGACCCATTATTAAAAAATGAAAAGGCAAACCATACTGGGAGAAAAAATTTGCAAAACACATATTTGATAAAGGATGTGGGTCCAGAATATATAAAGAACTATAACTCAATAACAAGCTGGGAAGAGACATTTCACAAAAGATACATTAATGGCAATACACACACACACACACACACACACACACACACAATGGCAAAAACTCAGAAGAAATAGCTCAGCATCACTAGCCCTCAATGAAATACCACAGCACTCTCACTAGAATGAGTTAAATAAAAAGCCTGAAAATACCAAGTGTTTGGGGGATGTATAGAAATTGAAACTCTCGCACACTGGTGATGGAAATATTAAATGATACAACCATTTTGTAAAAACAGTTTGACCGTTTCTTACAAATTTAAATATATACTAAGTATATGACCCAGGAATTCTATTCCTAGGTAGTACCCAAAAGAAATGAAAACATATGTCCAGGCAAAACTTATACAAGAATGTTCATGGCAGCTTTATTCATACAGGCCAAAAATGGAAAAAACACAAATGGCTAACAGATGAATGGATAAACCAAAAAAGGAATGAACTATTAATACACATAAAAACATTATTTGGATAAATTTCAAAAACATTTTACGGAGCAAAGGAAGCCAGACAGAAAAGACTATATGCTCCGGAACTGCATTTATATGAAATTTTAAAATAGACAAAACTTAACTAAGGAAGTGGTTCTCAATTGGGGAAATTTTGCCCTCCCCTTCCTTGGACAGTGCTAGTGACATTTTTTGATTTTCACAACTTAGGGAATGGGGTTGGGGTGGTTGCTACTGGTATCTAGCAGACAGAGAGGCCAGCAATGCTGTTAAACATTCTAGAATGCAGAGGACACTAACACAACAAAGAATTATCAGGCCCAAAGTTTCGATAGTGCCTAGGCCAAGACTGGAAAATTGTGTTCTACAGTGGTCAGTGATGGTCTTCGGATATTGAATGCAAAGGAAAATGAAGGAGTTCTGGCGACAATAAAAATGTTTTGTATTTTATTTGTAGTAGTAATTTTTTTTCCAAAACTCATCACACTGTACACTTGAAATGGGCACATTTTATTGTATGGAATTTTACCTCAAAGTTGATGGTAAAAATTACAGTGTCTGTCAACTAATATAAAGCTATATAAAACAGTTTAAAACAATTTTTGCTTTCTAAATTATATGGATAGAAAAGACAGAAAAGGCAAGTACCACTGGTTGGATTATGGATAATTTTGATACTTTTTTCCCTGTTGCTCATTTGTTTTGTACTAACTTGAAAATACATTATCTAAAATATTTAATTATATATTTTTGAGTTATACCCAAAACAGGTCCAATTAAATGAGGATAATAGAAAAGCACAACTGCAGATGAATATTTGATTGTAGTTAAATTTTGATTTTTGATCACAGGACTTAAGTTGTTTCAAGAAACTATAAAAATGTATAATGCAAAGGCATTTAGAAGTCAATTTTTACTCTAAAACACCTCTATAATATTGTCTAAATTATAAATATATTTGTATACGAAAGGTTTTTAAGTGACATTTTCACTATAAACAGTGATATCACGCCATAATAAGGTAGGGTGAACAGGATAATAAATTCTTTTAAATTAAATAGAATAAAGTTATGAAGTAAGTAATAACCCATTTCATTATATTTATATAGTAGAAAAACACAGCAGATGCAATTTAATTATGTTCAACAACAGGCCAGGAACTGCACAAACTGTGAGGAATATAAAGATGACCCTCAAGAATTGACTATCTAATGGAGAAAAATGATACTGTTAACAAATCAAATACAAAAAGCTAAAAGCAACGGTTGAGGTTTGAAAATAGTACAATGAAAGAACCAAACAACCAAGCCTGGAGAGTGTGGGAAACATTTACAAAGATGACATTTGAGCTGGGTCTTGAGGAAGTAGTAAGAGCTTATCAGGTGAAAATCATTATTAGATAGTTCAAAAATCTGAAAACAAACAAAGAAAGCCAACTACCTAACAATTTTGTTACACTGCTCTTTGTTACATTTTATGGTCTTAAAGGTCAGCAATGAGAAAATCGTTTCCAGAAACGGAATATTATGCTATAATATTGAGCAAGGAAGTTACACCTGCTGAGAAAGTTCCATATTCAAGAGAGAAATATGCTCAGTATTTACCCTGATGGAAAGTGCACTCTTTGCACTTTCACTACAGCTAAGTTAGGAAATATAAGTCTCTGGCACCATTTAAAAGTATAGACAGGGCTTCCCTGGTGGCGCAGTGGTTGAGAGTCCGCCTGCCGATGCAGGGGACATGGGTTTTTGCCCCGGTCCGGGAAGATCCCACATGCCGCGGAGCGGCTGGGCCCGTGAGCCATGGCCGCTGAGCCTGCGCGTCCGGAGCCTCTGCTCCGCAACGCGAGAGGCCACAGCAGTGAGAAGCCCGCGTACCGCAAAAAAAAAAAAAAAAAAAAGTATAGACAAAAAAATAATCAATTGGGTTACACTTTTAAAACTGTATATTTAACATTTGTTAGTAAATTCCAGTTGGCCTCACATAACGCACAAAAACACCTCATACCATTAATAAGGGAAAAAATCTAAGATGCCTCTCAAAAGGGGTGGGTCCTAGGAATACAGTACACATCCTTGACAGCACGTTTTAAAGTCATAAGAAATGCTTATAAATATATGATGAATGAAGTAAACGACTACTCTATACTGCTAACAATGATTATAACAAGGTAAAAAAGTTAATTCCTAACTTAGGCAGAGAAAAAAGCCTGTGAGGTGGTGAGACCAGCAGATACACTGCAGGCAGAACTTGCCTAGCCAGCTCCTTAGACTTCCTGTAATTTTGGAAACCTACTGAAATTAAGGAACAGAAATGGAATTAAACTGAATTTAAACAGAACAAATTTTATGCAACAGAAAACCTAATTTTTGAGTGAGCAAGTCTTCCCAAAGACAAAGGGTCTTCAAGTGGATCTGATTTCGTGGAGAGAAATTTCCTATTCTTTTCTCTCTTGACTTTGAGTCAAATAATTACTGCGAACAATTTAAGGAACACTGTTTCCAGGCAGTGGTGATTCAGGGGATTGGAGAAAACGGAAAAAGGATTAAAGCGATAAACCAAGGTTGCAAGGGAGTCTTCTGGGGTCACGTAATAGCCAGTGAACTAGAAACGCTGGCTATTTAGTAGATCCCGACACCAAGAGTGGAGCCAGGAGCAGGTGCAAGTCCAGCCAAGAGCTGGAGGCAGGCAGGCAGGCAGAGAACAGTCACTGCCAGATCCTTTTGCTTCCACCGCAGAAGATCACCCCCCGCCCCAACTCTCTAACTAAAATGTTCCTCATACTCAGTATCCGCCCGGAAGTACCCCTCCCCACAACTACCCCTTGCAATCCCAACAGTCCAGCCGGAGTGACAGGGCTGTTGTTCACTTACTGAGCTGTCCCCCACCCGACGTAGTACTCGGCTCCCGACCTCCTGCGCCTCCAACGCCGGCTGCTCCAGGGATCCCCGGCGCCCCTAACCCCGGCGGGGTCCCGCTCTGCCTCTCGAAGTTGCCGGGATTGGAGAAGTAATCGCGCAGCCGAGGGAGCTCGCGGCCACTCTCTAACAGCTCGGTGTGCAGCTCCAGGGCGGTCAGCAAGTATTGATCGCGCAACAACTGAGCCGCGATCGCATCAATTGACAATCGGGCCGGGGTCTCGCCAGTGCCCCCCAGGGCCACCGCAGCCGCCGACGCCTCCCCAGGGAGCCCTGGTCGTGCACTGCTCCCTAAGGCCACGGGATCCTGAGGCGATAGCGAGTCCGCAGAGCCAGGATCTAGGCCGACCCCGGAACTCAGCCGAAGTCCTGCCCGCCGCTCGTCGGTCCCTGAAACCTCGTCGTCGTCCTCGTCCGAATCGCTGAGGAATGGATTCACGCCGCCGCCGCCACCTCCAGGCGCCATCGCCGCCATCTTATACTGTCAGGAGCGTGGGCGCCTCCCTGTCTGGCTCTGACAGGCCGCAGCCTGAATCCCCACTAAGCCTCAGCGGGCACTGGGCACCTTCAGGGCCCCGGATTGGCCACGTCCCGCCTCCTCACTTGGAGACCAGGCCCAGGCTCGGAGGCAAACGGTCTGGAAGCAGCACCACCCTCTGCCTCAGCCGCAGCTGCAGCAGCAGCCTGGCTCTGCAGGCGTCTTCCTGGTCCCCAGTCTCGCGAGAAATGGCGCGTGCCGTGCCCCCTCTCCCCGCCCCAGCCCCGCCCCCGCCCCGCCCGTTCTCCCCACTAGTGAGCAAAGATAGAGGGCCCCGCTCCACGCTCAAAGACAAAATTCCGCCCCCACTCCTTTTTGATTGGCCAAATGAGGTAGGGGGCGGGGACTGGAGTTACAGAGGGCTGACCCAAGAACTATCGCGAGAGCAGCTTCTGGACAGGTAAGTGTCAGCGGTGTTCCGTGGTTGAGGAGCGGTTATGACGGTGGTTTAGGAACATTCATTCTCTTGGATGTCCTTTCGGGAACAGAGGGGAACTCTGACCTCGAGCTGGGTCCCGCCTTCGCGGTGAGGAGGCCCCATTTCTGAGATCAGGCCTGACCTGTATAAGCCCAGGTAAAGTCCGGGACTAGTGGGGGAGAGGTGCGATGGCCCCGAAAGTGGCCTCACGCCCGCCGCCGAGCTGCTTCACTTTTCCTTAGCACGTTTCACTTTTTCTGCTGTGTGCCGCCAATTGATGGCATTTTCTCCGCATGTGTAGCAAGTGCCCAGGGCAAGGGCTGTAGTCAGAATGCGGCTTCCTTTCTCTTCCTTGCCTTCCCAGCCGTGTATCCGTTTGCCCTGGAGGCCTAGGAGAGCGCCTTCTCGCCACCGAGTTAGTAGTGATAGGGCAGGATGCCATAGGGTGGGGTGTGGGAGGTGGAGAGAGTAAATAGAAAATGGAACTCAGAGGTTTGGATTTGTGTGGATCAGAGAATACCCTGATAGCCTCGACTTCAGTAGCAAACTGTTAGAATCTCAGGATTTAATACACAGGGATGCTTCAAAATATCAAATGCAGTCCCTCAGTGGAGGGAAAAGTAAACTTAATCCTAGAGACGTTCAATGACCCGGATAAGTCAACTCCATCAATAAGTATTCAAAGAACTAAAGTCAGTTCTCTTATGTCCATAGCCATTCTTTCTCCGCTATGCCTTGCAACATTTCTGACTTGTACATTTAGGCTGGAGTCAAGGTACTGACTGTGGAACTGAGAAATTGTTTTCAAACTTGGCTGCTTTTGACAGTTTTGATATCCTTTATCAAGTGTTAGCACAGTATACTAAGTTTGGACAGTATACAAAGTATACTTTGGACAGTATATATATATTGGACAGTATACAAATATGTTAGCACAGTATACAAAGTTTGCCACTTATGCACTTTTAGATTTCCCTGTCTTTCTGCATAGGTTCTTCCTTGAAGCACCAAAATAGAGGTGGCAATAATTATGTTATCAGGTAAGTTATGTTACATTGAAGCAGTGAAGTATATCCTTTAGGTCTGTGGAAAAATAAAAATATAGCGTTCTTATATAGCCTTAGGTCAGGTTATTGGTTTACATGTAAGTGTATACCAACAGTTAAATGTCGGCTTTAATTTCAGTTTACCCAGGCTCAGTAAACTAAACTTTTCATTTGAATGAGGCTTTGGGTTTTTCGTTTTATTTTTGGTAGAAGTTGTTTTTGATGTTATTAATACTAAGAATTCAAAGTATTTTTATAGAACATTAGCTCCTAATGTTTGAATTCTAAATTTTTTTGTGTGTGAGCCATAATATATTGAAGAAAAGCATGGAAAAAAAGATCGTGGATCTTAGAAAAATAGTATCAAACTAGTCAATGCTGTTACATATTTCTTAGCTAAAAGGATTGCTGCTCCTTATTGAGTTTGCCAGAGAGACTGAAAATGGAACCAATTTCTGGAATGGAGGAATGGAAGGGATTAGGGACTGGCATGGAAAGGGCATGATTAGAAATGGGTTGTTTGTATAGTACAATATTTCCATCTCTGTAATGGGGAATTTTAGAAATCTTTTGTATTTAGTGTCCCTGCACTTATGGTCTTCCCTTAGAGGATTGTGCTTATTAGGTTGAAAAGCCTAAAGTTCATATCCCAGTTCTGCCAATTATTTACTGTGAGACTTTTATGGGTTTTTTTGTTTTGTTTTTTTTGTTTTTTTGCGATACGTGGGCCTCTCACTGCGTGGCCTCTCCCGCTGCGGAGCACAGGCTCCAGACGCGCAGGCTCAGCGGCCATGGCCCACGGGCCCAGCCGCTCCGCGGCACGCGGGATCCTCCCAGACCGGGGCACGAACCCGCGCCCCCCGCATCGGCAGGCGGACTCCCAAGCACTGCGCCACCAGGGAAGCCCACTGTGAGAATTTTAAATAGTTACTTGACTTCTCTCAGCCCTCATCTGTCGAGGGGATGCTGAAAGTGTATAGAATTAAGAATGTGCTTGTCACCGTACCTGGTACCTAGTACACAATAAATGTTATAGTCAGTTCTCAATTAATGTTATACTAGTATATGGAGAACATTTGACAGACTTTTAAAAATAAAGCAAAACAAACCCCTTGTCAATTGTTTAGTAGCTACAGCCAGAAAAAGCAATTAAGGTAGTAGGTCCCAAAGGGAATATCTTTAATTTAAGGTCTGATTTCTAAAATGAAAGTTGAAAATATCAATAGATTTAAAATATGTTTCCTCAGAGAGTTGTAAGGAGTTGGATGTAGAAGTCCTTCCATGATTGGCTTCCTATAACACGTCTGTAGTTTCCTGATTCTACTTCGTATCCTATAATCATGGACTTGTTTATGTGACCTTCCAAGCCCGTAACAAATCAACTGGCCAGTCTCCTCAGTAAGTACTTTTCTCTTCCGCAATACATAGAGGTTTACTTACCAATTTAAAATGTTTAAGAAATAGCACATACTAGAATATTAATAATTGCTGATCTCTACTTTTAATAGTTTGCTGTTAATATTGTTGAGAAATTTTCTTTCTACTTAGCAAGATCTGCATTAATTTGGTCTTTACAGCTAATGTTTCACTGAATAATATGGATAGTCATTGAAGTTTGTATCTTAGTGATGAAAATATAAAAGATCACCTTTTTCCAAGCACTTAAATCATTTTCATGTTTAAAAAATTATTTTTTGCTTTAGTAGTCTTATAATAACCACAAGTAATATTTCAAATGCAAGTTTTTCATTGACTTAAAGTTTTATAAGTATCTAATTTTTTATACATTTTTATACATTCTAATTTTTTAACATTGTTTTTTAGCATGTGGTAAACATCCCACAGATATAAGCTAAATAACTTTTATTGATATATGGTTATGTGTATTTTAAAATTTTTAGTAATTATTCATTTATTTTGGTGGTTTCCAAATGATTCATCCATGACAAAGTTTTCTTTTTCACTAAATCTGAATAAAAAGTGATTTTTTAAAAACAGAAATATTAAGTAATAATATTGCTTAATTACATGTGCTTAGCAATAATAAAATAAGTAGTGTGTGAAGAATGATATTTTGGAATCACCGAAATTTTATGTATAGTAAATGACTTAAACATAAAAGTTGTTGTGGTTGTTTTTAAGTATCCTGAATCTTCACAGTTCATGCGTATGTTCTGGAGGAGGAATAAATAGAGAAACAAGGCAGCCTCTAGTGGCTATCCTGCATATTACATTTACCTTTGAAATGATAATTGTAAGTCATTTATTAGTCCTTAGTAAGTGCCCAGGACTGTGATGAGTGCTGGAGAAAGCCTGTCTTGCTGTTTTGGAATCAGCTTTAAATGATAGAGACAGACATTACTACAAATAGTCAGAGTCATAGCCATATAATTGTAAACTGAAGTAAAGGTTTTGGCTTCTGATTTGGACTGCATAGTCCCTGAGGAAGTGATGCTTGAGAGTGCAAGGTAGGGACTTGACTAGGATCCCACTGTCACTATATAACAGAGCTAGATTTTTATGTTGGCTGTTACAGCTTCAGGGTCAAAGTTCTCAAATACAATTTTTGTTTCACTACTTCAGTAAGGTTTTGGGTAGTGGAAAATTTGTATTATCCTTTGACACATAAACTTTGATACTTTATATAGAAGAGTTGTGTAATAACAATGGAGAAAAGAAAGAACATAAGTCCAGGGAGTTATTTGTAAATACAAATGAAAGTGAGACGTGATATACATATTTCCTTATATATAAGCATGGAAAGGAGAGTACTCAGGTTTCCATGGTAAAGAGGAGTATTTAAATCAGTGTGAGCTTCTGTACATCTAGATATATACAGTATGTACTTTAGTTGTAAATAGAGTTTAAGATCTAACTGAAATGAATTAAGTACTTGAAAAATGACTTACTTTGCATAACTAAATATGATACCTGATAGATGGGGTCCTGAGCTAGATGACAAAAAAAAGGATAAGTGAATAGAATATTATGGATAATTTTGGAATAATAAATTTGACAATTTGGGTGAAATGGACAAATGGACAAATTAAAAGATAAAACTACCAAAACTCACTCAACAAGTAGTAAATAATCATAACATCTCTCTGTATATGAAGAATTTATAGTTAAAAACCTTCCAACAAAGAAAACTCTGAGCCATTGGTTTCATTGGTGAATTCTGTTACACAAGAAAGGAAGAAATAATATAAATTCTACACAGCCTCTTCCAAAAAATAAAAGAGGTAACAGCACTTCCCAATGCATTGTCTGATACCAAAACCAGAGAAAAAAGAAACTTATAGTCTAATATCTCTAATAAATATTACTTTAAAATGCTAAATAGTATTTCAGGAAATAAAATCCAATAGTATATAGAAAGGATAACACTTAATGATCAAGTGGGGTTTATTCTGAGAGTGCAAGCTTGGTTTAACGTTTGAAATTCAATCAGCGTAATTCACCCACATTGGGAGACTAAAAGAGAAAAACCGAATGATCATGATCATCTCAATAGATGCAACAAAAGCATTTGACAAAATCCAGCATTCATTCACAGTTTAAAACTCTTTGCATATTGAGAGTAAAAGGGAACTTCTTTAACTTAAGAAAGGGAATCTACAAAACCTGGAAAACTGACAACTTTCACCCTAAGACTGGAAACAAGGCAAGGATTTCTGTTGTTATTACACCTATT